TACATGTCTGAGGCAATGTAAGGAAGGCATACTTCTTGAGATGCGACTCGCTCTCAGATAAAATGTCTATCAATCTCGATATGCTTAGTCTTGTCATGCTGTATTGGGTTGTGGGCAATATTAATTGCAGCTTGATTATCACAATACAACATTAGAGGCTTCTCATAATCAACCTCCAACTCATTAAGCAAGGATCTCAACCATAACACTTCTGCAACACCATTGGCCATGAATCTGTATTCCGCTTCTGCACTGGAGCGAGCAATAATATTTTGTTTCTTGCTTCTCCAGGAAACAAGATTTCCCCCCACAAATGCGCAATATCCAGAGGTGGACCTCTTATCATCAACACATCCAACCCAATTCGCATCTGTATACACTTCTATTTTCATATGACCATTATTCTTGAAGAGTATACCTCTCCCTGGACATCTCTTTAAGTAGGCAAGGATCCTTTCTACTGCAAGGAGATGGGTGGTCCTAGGAGAATGCATGTATTGACTGACAACACTGATGGCATAAGAAATATCCGGTCGGGTTAGACAGAGAAAAAGAAGTTTCCCAACCAGCCTTTGGTACATAGCCCTGTCTTCAAGGAGTTTTCCACTTTCTACACTTATCTTATGGTTAGGTAGGCTCAATGGGAGTATCAGTTGGTTTCACTCCTAACTTGTCAGTTTCTTCTAGTAAGTCCAAAACATACTTCCTTTGGTAGATGAAAATGCCATGCTTAGATCGAGCTACCTTAATTCCTAGAAATAGTGTAACTTTCCTAGGTCTTTCACTTCAAATTCCTTGTGAAGGTGCTGTTTAAGGGTTTCAATTTCACTAGTGTCACTTCCTGTTATCACAATGTCATCTACATAGACTGCAAGTAGAGAGTATCTGACTGAGCTTGTATGTATCCGAATTCGTCCAAAGCCAGTCTAAACCTATCAAACCAAGCTCTCGAGGATTATTTCAGCTCGTACAAGGCCTTCTTCAAAAGGCAAACTTTCTTTCCTGCTTTTGTACTATAAAAACCAGGGGGTAACTCCATGTATACTTCCTCTTGCAAGTCTCCGTTGAGGAAGGCATTCTTAACATCCAACTGAAATAGTGGCCATGAGAAGTTTGTAGCAATGGATAGAACTTTGATAGTGTTCGTTTTTGCAACAGGTGCAAAGGTTTCTATATAGTCTATGCCATAAGTTTGTATGAATCCCTATGCAAGCAATTTGGTCTTATACCTCTTTACAGTACCATCAACATTATATTTCACAGTAAACACCCATCTACATCCAACAGGTTTCTTCCCTTCAGGCTGGTTAACTAGTTCCCATGTGTTGTTCTTGACAAGAGCATCCATCTCTACTTGCATTGCTTCCTTCCATTCAGGTATCAGAAGAGTTTCTTGCACTTTTCTGGGTATAGGAATAGCAGAAATAGATGCCAAGTAAGATCTGTAGGATTCTAAGAGACAATTATAGGAAAGGAACTTGGAGTTGCAATGGGTAGTGGATGAGGTGCAACAACGCTTCCCTTTACGAATGGCAATTGGAAGATCAAGGTCATCTGTTGGTGAAGACTGAACCTCTGTAACAGTGGGAGCAGTAGTAGTGTCTGGATCTAGAGCTGTAGAAGATGTTGGGACTGGTTTGGTTTGCTGTTAAGTACGAGAATCAACCTGCCTCCACCACTTTCTGTGATACACCCTGCATTTTTGACAACCTTCTTCGCAACTCCCCCCCTCAGTAACCGGGACAGGTAAAGGAACTCTTGGAGCTGGAACTGAAATCCCTTCCTCACTATTCTCCCCCGGAGGAGAAGCCTTATGATAGTAGGGCATATCCTCAAAGAAGGTGACATCCATGGACGCAAAACGCTTCCTTGAAACTGGCTCATAACAGCAATATTCCTTTTGATTTTGTGCATACCCAAGGAAAATACACTTAGTGGCTTTGGGATCAAAACTTGGAGCAATGAGGTCCAAGATTTGAACAAAACAAGTACACCCAAAAGCTTTGAGGGGAATAGTGAATAGGTCCTTATCTGGATATAGAAGATTGAACGGGGTTTACATGTTTAGGACCCGTGAAGGAACCCTGTTAATGAGGTATATGGCTGTACGGATTGCATCTCCCTAGAAGCGTATGGGAACATTCGTGTTGAGAATAGTGCTTTTGACTACCTCTAAAATATGTCTGTTGTTTCTCTTAGCAACCCCGTTTTGCTGAGGTGTGTGAGGATAGGTGCTCTAATGAATGATCCCATGATCAAGGAGATAGGATGCCAAGGGTTTTGCAAAGTATTCCTTGGCATTATTAGATCTAAGAATCTTGGTCTTGGTTTCAAATTGAGTTAGGATCATCTGATGGAAAGCTTGGGTCAGAGAGGGGACCTCATCTCGAGAGTGCATAAGATAGACCCATGAAAAACGGGTATGGTCATCAACAAATAATAAGAAATGATATCAACAGAAGTGCACAATTTCTCTTTTTCCAATCGATTCCCCCCTTGCTGTTCCCGTGTGTTAGTAAGAAGAAGGGAGGGAGGACAACTGTAAACTTTGATGGGAGCATGTCAGGCAACCCAGGAGTAGCTGGTATAGGAGGCATAGTAAGAGATGAAAGGGGTGTTATTGTGTGAACTTTTAGTGGTCCAATAGGCGTTGCTGACAGCTCTCATGGGAATCCGAATAGTTAGAAACCTGGGCATTCAAAACTTAACCATAGCAGGAGATTCAGCAAATACTATCAAATGGTTAAGAGAAAAAGAAGATGTCATTTTTTGACAGAAGCTAGAGAATCTCTGGATGCCGAGTGTTAATCTGATTTGGATTTTGAGGGAACTAAACTCTATTGTGGATGGTTTAGCTAAGTTAAGGGCACACTTGAATGTAATGTATAGTGACAACTTGATTCCAGTGTAATCCACAGGGCTTTCCCTTTCTATGTTGTACATCTCCTCATGTACTCTTTATTTTTATCTAATAAAATTCTGTTACCTTTTCTCAAAACAAGAAAGGAGATTCTAGGGGATAGCTTTTGGGGTTACAAATATTAACTTGTTGATCTGTTTTCTTTTGTTTTTTTGATCAGCACGATATATAGCCATTTGAAAACATTTGGGGGACCAACTGGGTTTGAACCGGGTAACTTGTTGATCTGTTCTGAATTGGTGTTTCCTTTTTGTTGTTGTGTTCGTAGGTGTTGTCTTAACACCTACCCAATTTGCATTTCATTTATCCTTTTAATGAAATTTTTGTATTTACTTATAAAAAAATCAGCTGGCAGGAAGATGTTATCTTTGCCTGTGCTTCACCTTTGTTTTGGTTGTTCTTATGTGAAGATCATTTGGGTGGTATTTTTTTCTGTACTCAAGATGGAGATGTGGAACCCAAGCTCTCCAAGAGAAATCTTTGCTTGCTGATCAGCCTTAAATAGAAGTAGAAAAGCATAGATGATTTGGAGTTGTGTGTCATTTGGAATATGTTGGGAGTTGTGGAAGGGAAGAAATAGAAGCAATTTTGAAGACATTGTCTTGCTTCAACTACTGGTAAAAAAGGATCTTGGAGCGGGTCTTGATTCTTCCAATTTTTGCAGAGGATAGTAAAGAGTCATTTGGTTTTGGGTTTTGGTCTGTGTTTAAAATTGGAATTGGGCGGGGGTGATGATGTAAAGTGTACTGCTGTGTTTTTTCTTTATTGGGTGATCTCTCTATCACCTTTCCTTTATACTCTCTTTCTTTTAATTTAATAAAATTTTCTTTTATTTATACCAAAGAAAACCCAGAACAATCATTCTGCTAAATCAGCAATTGTGGTAAGCCTTTTTTCCCTCCTAGAATGTCCTTACTCCTTAGAGGCTGTATTGCAATCCACTTCACCACTATTTTCCATCCTATATATATATATATGTTAAAGTAATATTATTCCATATTTCTTTACAAGTATGCATGTGAGGCCACATACAAATATTACCCTGTACAACCAGCTTACCAGCAGCTGTACAACAAGGTAACTTGTTACATGAGTTGTCTATACAAAGACTCATAGTAACAATCTGTAAAAAGAGTATGTCCCTAAACTCTTGCAAACTGAAAACCATGAGCATGTTGCCCTGGTAGATCTTGACATGATTTGCTCCATAGAAGAAATGCAGTTGTAAAAGATGTGATCATTCTTTTCAGTTCAGATCACCCAAAATGTCACCGAAGCACATCCAGAGAATCTTTCCTCTTTTATTTGGGCTCTTCAATTTCCAGCACGAGTCCCTGGTGGTTAGTGGAAGGACCAAGATCCACCAAACTTAAAATATTGTAGAAGTGAGCCCAAAGAACTGGGCAGAGATCACAGTGAAGGAATATGTGGTTGGCTCTGTGGGCTATTTTAACAGATGTTCTCAGTTAGAGCCTTTAGGTTGGGTCACTTGTCAAAAGAATTAAAGCTTTCAAGTCTGTCTTTATTAGGGAAATTTGCTATTGTCTTCCTCCCTGTACTGTCCCAAGGATGGCTGCTATGTTACATTTCCAATGAGTCTTACCTCCTTTCCTTGTGCATCTGAATGTGATAACATGCTTTTGCCTTTAAAGTTGAAGTGTAAAGAAGCTTTATAATTGGGTGAGTTTAATGCACTTAAGGGTAACACATTTATACATAGGATCCTATATCTATTTTTGATATTTGGCTGAAATCTTCAAATTATCAAACGGAGTATTCAAGATATGTAATTGCTTAATATCGTATAAATGGTTTAGTTTGTTGTGAATTGATTTTTTGTTATTTAGCAGCTGTTTCTGAATCATCAAATAGAATGTTTTACGTCAGCTCTTTGTATGTCTATACTCTTTTCTGTTCTTAGTAAATTGTCAGTGATCTGTTACTGTTACTTAAAACATGTTTTTCATTTGAAATTTACATTGTTTCCTGTGATTTTGTAGTGTTTGTTGACCATGATAGCTGCATTGTTGGGTTTGGCTAACCTGTATTTATGGAATTTACCACTTTGGAACTTTCTCAGAGAATACTTTGAAGATGTAGATCGGACCTGGGAAACATTTGAGAAGACATTATGGGCCCATATTTCCAACTTCTTCAAACTCGCAAAAGAGAGGTATTAATTTTTCGTATTGAGATTTTTTTTTTGTTGGTTTTAGTCTTTTATGCAGTTGAAGTGTATTTCTTCTTATAGGCAAGTACTATGCTAAATTTGGATTATGTTGCCCTTATCTTCATTTTCTCAATAAATCCTATTATTTTATATGATCAAAATGGATTCTTGAAAGGATCCAGTGTTCAGACAATTTTTTAGTGTTGCTTAGTGTTTGGATAATTTATTGGAGCACATGCTGTAATTTATTGTCTAATTTCTGGACCTCTGGTGTACATGAGTATATTAAAGTACAAGTAGAAAAGTACTGAAGAAGTACATGAAGTAGTAATAATGGGTATAAGGAGGTAAGGAGGCTAAATCTGGTCAATGGGGCTTTTCTTGTTAAGTGGTTTTGGTGTTATATTGTTGAGCCGGACAACTGGTGGAAGCAATATTTGGTTCAAGGACAAGTTGCTAGGAGATCAGAACAATAAACATGTCCTACAACTGTTCTATGTAGAAGGGAATAGAAAAAGCCTACAACTTGTTTGCCAAAGGGGTGGCTTTCAAGGTTGGGGAGGGAATAACCCAGGGAATAGAAAAAGCCTACAACTTGGTTGTCGGTTGTCATGGAACCTAGGGAATAACCCAGGATTAATTGTTTTTATTTGAAAAAAATTCCATTGCCTTGGAAACAAGGCACTCCCCTGTTACCTAGCCTTACCTTTGTGCCTTGAAAACTATGTCCTCTTCTAAAACCCAAGTCTAGAGAATATAGCAGAATATGAAGTAACCCAATAAAGTACAATTTTGTTTTTGTTGAAGGAGAGAGAGAGTAGATGTTACGGTATTTGACTTTTAAAAGTTTTATCTCCCTACTAGTGGTCTTCCTAGAGTCTAGTTTTGTTCCCATCTAAAACATACCTAATGTACCAAAGAAAGGAACTCAATATGCTTGAGATGGGTTTCCAAGAAGAGGCCGAAGAAAACCTAGTGATCAAAACAAAATCAAACTTACTAATCTCCACCCCATCCATGTATGCTTTTGATAACTTTGTGCCATTGTTCATTTAAGTCTAGTGGGAATGTCAATAGCCACTTGACAAGGAAGAATTCCTAAAGTAATTCTCCCCATTCCCAACCCCTTCCCCAAATTGATTTTCATGTTTGATATTCTCTCAAAACCTCTCAGAAGAAGCTGGAGATTTCTTGCACCCTCTTATCCCTACCCTCATAGAAGAGTATTAAATCATTTTCAAACTAGAGATGAGTAACTATCACCTCCTCTCTACCAACCCTCCACCCTTTAAGTAGTTCGAATCTATCTTCCCTGGAGATAAGTTTACTAAGTATATTTTCTAGTAGGGCAAACAAGAATGTGGATAATGAATCCCCTTGTCTAAGCTCTCTTTTGGCCTTGAAGAAGTTGTTCAAAACTCCATTGATTTGTGTAGAATAATGACAATTAACTCAAACACCTCATCATCCTTTTCATATATTCTCTGCATTACTTTCTCATTTCTTTTAATAAATTTTTATTTTACTTTGGAAAAATATATTCGCATGTCTATTTCAGTTCTTGTTTATAGATATGTATGTCTATGTTGTTCATGTTTCTTTATCTTAATTCTTATGAGTTTCTTTGCATTATATTGCAAGCATCTGATGCCGGTTTTTGTGATTTCTGCAGCCCACAGACATTGGTTCGAGCAATGAGGTATGATCCATTGCACAACCATTCCTTGTTTGGAGAGTTATTTAGGTTTGAATTTTCTGTTGAAGTGTATTATTTTGTTAATCTATGCAAAATATTTTTAAAATTCATGAGGCAACAGTCATGGCAATGATACCGATTTAGGCTAGAAATAATGAGGAACTTTGCATAATTTTGTTTGGTAAATAATAGAGATACTGAATTAGAAGAAAAGTCAAGAGTGACAGAGTACACAAAAGGATACCAATCTGAAACAAATGAAAAGAAGGGACTTAAATAAAATGTCTTGTGAAGAGAAAGTGAAACAATCCCTACCCAAATAATTGGCAAGATTATCTGCAAACTCCTTAGAGGCACCTCACTATATATTTTATTTTCTGGAGAGGCTTTTTATTTTTTGATCAATAACAGAATCAAATTCATTAATTAGGAAGAAACTTAGTACAATGGATAAAGAAAGAAAGGGGGAGAGATAAACTCTCTTAGCCTTAACCAACAGAAAATTCAATTACAACATAGCCCAAAATAAACTATTCCTTCCCACCTGTTAGGAACCTGCCTAACTCAGGGCTCTTCGTGGGGCCAACCTCCTGAATTCTTGGAAGAAGGGAGAGGAAAAAGAGAGAGAGAGAGAGTTTAATGCTGAAAGAATCAATTTCCTATTCCTTTTCTGCTCTACTACTTATAGTTTTACAATCTTGATTGTCTTTCTGTTACAGTTTCTGTTACAGTTGTTACAAGTGGATGGTTAGTTGTGCTGA